ACCTCCGCTGTTTCGCCGACGAAGTTCTTATTGAGGAGTTCACCATTCATTATGCAAATCGGCTTTACGTGTTCTATGTATAAATCGTAAAGAAAGAGAAACAGATTTACTTATAAGAACCAAAGTTGAGTCGATTGAAATTGATTAATGAAGATTAATTAGTTTACAAACTAACTCACCGTTATAAATCACCGGTTTGTTCAATCGTATTATGGCTATGTCATTTTTGAATTCCGGCTTGTTATAATTCTTGTGGACAATTATCGATTCGGGCAGGAAATCTTGCACTGGCTCTGCACAATATTCTTGCTCACAATCGGGATCAGTGAGGATGTTGTGTTCGCCTAAACGAACTCCACCAACCTTGAAACTTAGATTTATATCTCCATATTTATTAAACAATATGAAGTCACATTCCATATAGTACAGAATTTGCAGCAATATCGTTGTAAAATCTCTATAATATTACTACTGCAGCAGTGTTGCTGCAACTTTTGTGCAACTTTGCTATAGGGGATATATAAATTACAGAAACGTAATATATACATTTAAATTCTTAATTAAGATTAAAAATTCTCAAATAATCTGAAGCGTCTCTCCGTTATTTCTATTTTAAACAGATTAATAAACACAGAAATTGTTGTATAATTTGCAAATTAATACAGTTTAATCCATTAAGGACCAAGAGAAATTTTTTTCTCAAAATTTAAAATCGTTTTAATGGCAATTTTGCGACCATTGGTCCAAAGCAATATAAAAAGTTGATCTTTTTTTTTTCTTTTTTTTTGGTTGAAAAATCGACCAGCGGTCCTTAATGGGTTAATCAAGAAATACTTCTTCTTTCATTTCTTCTCAAAGACTAAAAATAATTACTCCGAACGCTTGTACTTAGTAAAATACATGGCAAAAGTCTCATTTTTTTTTCTTTTTCTCTTAATAATATTTTTTTATATTTATTTATTTGTTCTATACGTACTTTTCAGGTAGATTCACTACGCAATGGGCAGCCGTGACTACGTATCGTCGATTAATTATTGTACCGCCGCATCTGTAGCTTAAGTCATTAGCATTCGGCATGCTGTATCCTATTCTCGCGATCCAAGGATACGCGCCGAGGCTCGCATTTTTGCCACCAATAATGCGATCGCTGTTGGAATTGCCGCAATTATTTTGTTCCAGTAACGACCAGCTAGGATGTTGTCTTACATTGACTACAAACCGTTAAATTTATTATAACGTCACGTGCTTTTAACAGGAACTTAATAAAATTTCTTGATAAAAATCTTTTCGTTGCCATTTAGATTTGCTATAAATTATATGTAATTTAAAAATAACAATTTGATTTTTTATTTATTTAAAATATTTTTGGAAAATTATTATGACTTTCTTATACATACTCGTATAATTTATAAATTTATATTTAACATTAAAGGCGATATATTATATTTGAATTTTTTATAGATTATATTTGAAGAAATTTGGTTTAAGTATTTATTTTAAGAATTTGAACTACTTTTATTCATATAATGTATGATTCAATTTATATTGCGTCGACTCATGCATTCATTTGTGATAAATTATAGAAAACTTACTTGTGGAGAATGCTGTATTGCATGAAAGTACAAGTATATAAAGTAGTGAGTATTGCATCCTGCCTGAAAGCTGGAAAACAAGTGAACAAGCAATCAAGTTTTTATATTCTTTATATCCTTTTGTCAATACAATATTTTAGAATCTCTCTTCTTACTGTAATCCACAATCTCTGCACTAAAATCCTCGTTGAGTGTTTTATTCGAACTACGTTCGATATCGTTTAATTCGTTAACCTTCTACGTGTTCGCCACCTTATCTCTACCGTGCAAATTGCATGACGGTTTAGCTGATAGATCTTTATAATCCATTCACCGCAACTGTTACGTATACCTATAATATTAATTATTCTGTTTATCCATTGCGCGCTTGAAGTATATTCCAAAGATGCCCATACTTTTCCTGGATATTGATTTATTATAGTTCTTTTCTCAAAATGTAAAGTAAAAATTGTTATATTTCTTACAAAAAGTACGTCATAACTTGATTTTTTATAATCAAACTTATTATAGTATACTAATAATTTTTAAATCAATTGTAAAATAAAACACTCAAGTTAACTTCGAAAATAAGAGATAATAATGGAAATTTATTCACCTAATTGAAAGGAGAAACATCTTGTAAGTGCATAGCAATTCAATGCCTCGATGATATATATTTTATGGCAATAAAAGATTTATATAATAAAACTGCTACACAGTAAAAGTTTAGATGGTAACAGGCAAAATGTTAAATCCTTCGCAATTATTATTTCTATACTTATCAGAAATGCGTGAATTAAAAAAAAAACGCGAGAATTTAAAAGAAATATATGAAAAAGACACTTTTCGTAAGTCAATTAACTTTTTGAAAGCTAGAAAGATACCAATATCTCGGAAGATTAAATGAAATAAGATATGCAAGTCTAGGAAAGGTAACAAGTATCTCACTTACATTTCGTTTTGCAATTCGCTGCTATTTATTTTCTTAAAAATAATAATTACAAAAGGACGCCGTAGATAATATTTAGAATTAAGTATTACGCAAACTTCGCAATCATCAAAGGAGAATCTCCCTTCAATCTATGTACAGCTCGTAGGAACATTATCGTACAATATTTCTTTGTCGGCGGGAAGTGAACCTGAACCGAGGAACACTTCTAGACTGAGAAACAATTTTAGATGAACCCTCCCCTCAGTCCCCCTGCGATATTGGAGAGCCGCGATCGCGTTTCGACGAGGCCTTTCCTTTGCCCTTGGATTTGGTCTCTCGTTTCCGGCTGATCGACGAGGTTGACGTGGTCGAGGCAGAGTCGGCTGGACTAGAGTGACTGGAACCCTCCCGGTCCCACCTCGTCAATGTGTCTCGCAGATTTTGACCGTCGTTCTCCTCGTACGTATCCACATCGACATGCAAATTGTCCTGACCGTTGGACTCCAGATTGGCGCGTACCTCCCTGCGCTGTTCGTCGGTGTGCTGGGGACATCGTACCGATCTGGTGCACAGCTTCTTCGTGTGCTCAGACATGACACCGCAGATTTGCGTGAGCAGCGCCCGCTTGTCCACGAGTGACATATTCTCGTAATTCGATGGCGAGCTTTCGTTGCTGCTGTGCACGTTGTGTTCGTTGCCGACGACACTGGTGGTCTCGCCGTTTCTCTGCGAGCCACTACCGCCGGCCGCGCTCTGTTGCTTTTGCTGCTTGCTGGAACGCTTGTTCACGCCGTTGCGATCCTTGCGTGGACGTTTACGCTTGTTGCCGCTATCGTTGGTCAGGCTCCAGTCAACGTCGTCATCGTCGTCGCTCAATACTCCGCCGTAGTTGTTCAGGTCCTTGGAATTGTTCGCGATACGAAGCGATGCAATACGCGAACTGTTCCTCCCCATGCCCATACATTTTGCTAGATGAGTAGCGAATCTACAAGCTGCCACACCACGTTCGCAATTTGGACAGTTGCATTCCTGAGATTTCTTCATCGGGTGCTGACCGAACACGTCTAGGCCGGGCGAATCTAATACAGAAAATAAAAGTTACATTAAATGAAAAAAATTACATAAGTTGTATACATATATAGACTTAGAAATATTCCATCTTCCCAAGCATTTGACTGAAACTCTCCCTGCCCACACAGCATGAAATATTTTAGAAATATTTCAAGAAATCTGTTTGAATTATAAATCCAGGAAATTAGAGTTTTTAAAATAGCCTTTTTCTTACAATATTTGTACAGTATTTCTAAAATATTTTGCTGAAATGTTTAGAAAATGTTTTGCATAAATATTACACTCCTTGTGGGTGATTACTGAAAGTTTGTTATGTTTGTATGTACCGACAATGGCGTAGGATTTATCATCGGGAATGCCTTCTTCGACGTCGGAATTGCCAGTCTTGGCTATACGGTGTATGTCGAATACGAAACCCATCAGAACGTCATCCAACAAGTCCTCGTAAATTTCCTTTGTGGCTGCTTCAACATTCTCTGGCTTGCTCATGAAATCCACGAAACGTCGATTCAAGTCCTGGATCCTTTCCTCAGTCACAGACATACTGAATTTGTGATTGAGCAATTTGTTTCTATCTAGACTGGATAGAGAAAAAATATAAGGACAATTAGCGACTGATTAATCAAGGTATCAATTCCACCAGTTTCTGATGGCTCGCGTTAAGATAACTTAGAAATATTAAAATTCACAAAAATTAACAATAAATTAACGAGCTTGTATAAATAATCATGTACTCAAAATTCAGTTTTTTAAATATGTATATACAAAATTCAAAAATATGACAACAAAAAACCTTATCTTTTCCAAGCTTAATAAATAATTCTGATAAATAATCAATAATAAAATAGATAATAAATAAATAAATTAAATTAATTCTTCCCGCGGAAGATTTAATAAGGAAACTCAGAGCTTCGGTCGAGGGAACATCGGTAAAAATATTTGCCGATACTTGCGGGACACCCGGTATAGCGCGGACGGGGGTTCTAACCTAAAAAGGGAGAAACGGCAACAAATTGGCGACGTAGGGCAATCCAGGGCGAGTACCGTCGGGACGAGATGGCGGAGCAACCGGATGTCTTTCGTTCTTCCGGTTCTCCGCGAAGAAGACGGTGCGGAGCGCCGTCACCGCCGATATCCGACGCCGCTCCGTTGGCTCTTGGTTACGGACGACACCTGCGCGACGACATGCGCGTCCAGTCGTCACGTGTTCCTCGTCGCGTCGCCCGTCGACCGTCGACGGAATGACGGATGCGGAGCGTCGGAAGACGCGAGCGATGACAGCACGCTCCCTTCGCACGGCGATTTCTACCCGTAGCTTTATATATAGAGGTTGAAGAAAAACCCTTCGGTCCCTTTCGCGAAGAAAACAACGCTCAATTAGCGATTGCTGCGCATCGAGTCGCAGACGCACCCTCCGTGCGTGCAGACGCACCTTTTCGATTTCTTTCCCACTGCGAAAAGCTCCTTCTAGGAAAGTGCAAGTAGGGGAACAGATAAATATCTAATTAATTCTATATAATTATATCCGATAATTATTATATAATTATCTCATTATTCAACAGCATTGATTGTACTTCTTGGACCCCGTTATAAGGTCCGTAAATCGTGCGATGAAAAGGCGAAGCAGAGCGGAGAAATCTTAGAGCCACATGACCGTGTTTTCTTACTCCGAAATTACGGAATGAATAACGTCCGGAGCTATGCCGAGAAAAAAGGAGGAGGAAGGCAATATTGGCGATTCTTTTCGAAATGTATTAAGGAATAATTGAAAATCTGTATTTCAACGTGAAATGTAGATACTAATATAGATATCTATGTCTATATTATATAGGTATTATATGTTAATAATTATTTATTATTACATTTTAGATATTTATTTTTAGTATATTTCGCACGCGCTTTAGGACTCGAGATCGTCGAGCGTGTCGTCGATTGGCCGTCGAATTGGGAGTTCTAGGAACTTTAGGTGATCTCACATCCCACAGCCAATCCGCAGCCATATCTGCGACTTGTCATGAGATGCGATTTCGTCAACAAGTTAACCAACTTTTTCTTTTTGAAACGCTATATTCTAATGTATGTACATAAATAATATAATATAATATATATAATAATATAATATAATATATTCTAATGTATGTACATAAATAGAGAAATATAAGGTTATATAAGGTTTGTTCGCGTTGTATGCTCCAACATGCTTCTGCCATCTAAGGGCTCCGCACAATAAAAGGAACAGAGAATAAAAATTTCAGCCTATCAGAAACTGTATTCCACAATATATAATTTCTGTTAGGTTGATATTCTTATTCTCTGTTCTCTGTTCTCTGTTCTCTGTTCTCTGTTCCTTTTATTGTGCGGAGCCCTTAATGAGCATATTGGATTGAGTAGGAGCTATGATAAGCGGCAAATCTATAGAGAAATATACGTGAATGATTCAAAGATTGCAGAATACAATAATTTTGCAACCGTTTTATGATTGTCTGCTGAGATAGGATTATTCTTCTAGGTTTAAAAATATAATTCAATCAGTACGAAGAAAATTTCCAACAGTTGCAAAATAAACGTTCTGCCGAACGCAATCAAAGTTAAAGCGAGTAAATCGTACTTTCAAGCATTGTTGACTCTGCAAAGTTTTTAAATTCAGAAAAGTATCCAGAGGTAAATCCTTTTTTCTTTAAAATATACATTTAATCTTTAAAGACTATACAGGCTCTAAAATGCAACAAATTTTTAGGAATTTTGTGAGAATATCTAAGTTCGTCGGAAGCACATCCGTCATAATTGACGTAATGGCACGAAATAGGAAATTTGCAAAATTTTATATTTATATTTTCGTATATTATTTAGAGGATGATTCCTAGATGCAGAGATTTCCGTTCTCCTGTTTGTGTTTTCTCTCGGAGGAAGGCGGATTTGAGCACCACTGAAGCTGAAGTCGCGTATACGAGACATTACGAGACCCAAATGACCCAATAGCGAACGAGCAGGCTAGAAGCAACAAATTATTGTTGCCGTGGTGGGAATATTACACCACCACGCTTGTCCGTTTGGATGGTTCGAAGTTTCTTGCTCTGACAAATTGGTCTCCATCACTAATTGATTGTCGCCGAGGAGGATTGTTCCTCGTTTTCAACGTCGACGTGACGCAGACAAGATCGCTTGAGAAAGAAAACACGGAAAACAGCGGACGCATGGAGGATGATGACGCGCCCCTTGACGTAGGCCATTTTACGTAGCATCGGGACTGATGAAAGGGCCTGTTCCTTCAGGGGCAAACTCGCTCGCTCTCCCTTTTCGCATACTCGTCTGCATGGATCTCAATCAAAAGCGCAAGGTTGGCCTTATGACTAGATATTGTCCCTTGGATATGAGTGACTGATATTCAGAATGTTACTTATTGCTTGCAGATGTTCTTAATATGGAATGAAAGCAGAAAGTAAGAATAGACTGGTTTATCTAAAGGAAAAATCTTTCATACAATTAAATAAGAAAATTAGAGATAGAAATTATTACGTGACGCAATGGCAAATGGAATGGAGAAGATAGGTGAGTAAAATTGACTTAGATTTCTCTTTATGAATGCGAGATATAGGACATTACGTGCTTTCGAGATCATTTGCGAATGTTTATGTATGGTAGATTATAAAATTTTGTATCCCTACTTTACTCAAATAAACAAATTAAAATCAAATCATGAAGAGCCAACTTTGTAAAATGTAGCTTCTTATATATATATATATATTTTTTTTTTCTTATATATTTATGCAAAGATTATATATTATATTATCCAAATATTCTTTATTTTATATTTCTATTCTATATTTAAATTTCTAATAAATAATTAAGACTGAAAAGTTGCGTATATATTAGTACAGTTTGATTTTAGTGAATGAATTAATATACATATTAAAATAATATATGGAAGTTAAGATTACGCAAGAATTGATAAACTTAATTTTATTTGATTTAATATGTTATTTATGTTCAGGAATTTCTTTCTTTTAAATAACTCAACAATTTTTCTTGCAGAAATTCTGAAGATTGAGGAGTGTAGTGATCTAATTGTGGACGAAACTAATGGGATTATGTTTGGTAATTTGATCATTCAGAAGTAAAATGTTTAATATTGTAATAATTCTAAATATTTAAAACAATATAAATATTCTGATTTTGCAGACATGGACCTCTCACAAGATGAATCTTTAGTTGTAACTGACAGCACAGCCACTGACAATAAGAAAGGTAATTATATTTTGTATATACATTAAGAAATGTACAATCATATTAAGTTCTTAGACATTTTTAGACAATTCAGGATGTCTTAGAACTTAAATATGATTGTACAATTTTTGATAAGGTTCATAGATTGTTTTTAATTTTTGGCAACTGTGTACTTTTTTAAAACTAAATTTTAAGATACATCTTGTATGAATATCTTTAAATATATTCATAATTTTTACAAATTATAAATATATTCGTAATTTCCACAAAACCACATAATATAGTTTTGATAATATGTTTTATTTTATTTTGTTAAGGTGTGGTTATTTCAATTGTAACCGATTATCAATGTGTGACATGTCAACGTATTTTCCAATCAAAGGATGTAAGTTATAAGTTTTAAGTTTTTTTAAGATTATATTTTATATATCTGTTATTTTCTCATGCTTTTCTTTTAATGAATGCTTTCTTTTAATGAATTATGTCTTATAATTCTAAAACAGATGTTGCAGAAGCATGTAGACACATGCAGAGAGGAAGATGACTCAAACAACATTCTTGGTAATGTAGTAAGTTACGATTCAGAAGAAGAGGAAGAGGATGAAGATGATCCACTTTTAAATGCTGAAGGTTTGTGGTTATGCATTGAACAAGATTATCTGTTCACTCTCACAATACAAAGAATCTTACAATTTATCTATACTCCTAGATTCGGATTCTAAGAGCCAAAAGAATAACAACGAGAAACCTCTCATCAAACCCGTGCCTGAAACGCAGTGCCATTGCTGTGCGGAAGACTTAAAGACGGCTCATAGCGGCGGAGAATACAAATGTTCACATTGTGATCTCAGTTTTAAGAAAAAAGCATCTTTGGAAAGACACGATGTAGTCATACATTGGATTTGCGAGTCGTGCACATGCAATGAATGCGGTTCTTCTTTTCGTGATAAGAAAGCTTTAAATAAGCATCGCTATACGACACACGGAGATCGTAAAATTTTTAAGTATGTTTATATCAGCATACATTTAAGTTATTTTCATTAAATGTAAAATTATTATTATAAAATCCGAACTCAATATTTCATAATAATTTCTCTCGTTTTCTACTACAATTTTTATTAATCAGTCTAAGATATATATTTTTATACAAAATTTTATTTTTAGATGTGATCCTTGCGACACTTATTTCTCTCGGAGCTATCACTTAAATCGACATATACTGCAGTCTGGTTGTCATGGTAACATACTTAATAAATTCAGTTGTCAAGTAAGTACGCGGTTATCCATAACGATAATTTTAAAAAATTAGAGATTATAATGATTAGAGATTCTAGAAAATTAGACATTATAATGATCGAATAAACGATGTTGTAGGTTTGCAAGAAAGACTTTACGCGTAAGGATAACTTGCGGGAACACTTGCGTACTCACGCGGGCACGCCTCAAAGACAAAAGAAGAAATGCAACTATTGCCCAAAGGAATTTTTTACATACCAACAATTGTTGGTACACGAACGTATGCATACGGGAGAACGACCAGTCCAATGCGATTTATGTCCGAAGACATTCCTGTCGCCGCTCGCGCTGAAAAAGCATCGTCGTGTACACACTGGAGAGAAGCCGTTTGAATGTAAATATGTAAGTATTTTTTATCGAGTTTATGCAATACAAGTACTTACACAATTCCTTAATATTACGTATTTCTCTTGATGATGATTAAGTATAGAAATAATAACTTTTATTGTGTCATTTTATATTACAAGCTAGCTGAACGGACATGTGCTTTCGTAAGTTTTTAATTGTCTATGAATCGATACTGAACTGAAGAGGTTTCAAGATACATAAAGTACACGTGGTTTTAACTTTACAAAAGCAATTAATTTCTATTAATGCATTTTTACGCGAATACTAATACAAGTGTTTGTGTTGTCAGTGTCAAAGAAAATTTGCTGCTCGCGAAACGCTGAATCGTCACCTACGGACGCACACGGGTGAAAAACCACATGTGTGTCAGTATTGTGGCAAATCGTTCATTCAAGCAGCGCAATTAAGAGCACATGTGTTCCATCACACTGGAGAAAATGGTTTCTACTGTGATGTGTGCGACAAGGCATTTAATCGGAAGGCGCGTTTAAATATCCACAAGAAGTTCGTACATGAGGGAGCGATTCCATTTACGTGTGAAGTCTGTGATAAGGGTTTCATGCGAAAGGAGGACATGATGAAACACAAAGTGCTACACACTGGCATCAAACGTAAGCCATATTTATATTATAAAAGGGAATTATTACAAAAAAATATAATATTTTTGAAATACGTCGCACGCTTTGCTTGTTTTATTGTATTATACACAAATTTCTTTTTGTATTACGTTTCAGCGTTCAAATGCGACAAGTGTTCGAAGGCCTTTTCGGTCAAATCATCGTTGCAAGCACACCTCAACACTCACAGACGCGAACCGCCCCAGTCATGCGTCGAATGCAATAGAGTGTTTATCCGACAAGATTGTCTGATGCGACACATTCGGGCGAAGCATCGGGAACTGTTGGAGGATGTAATGAACGAGGTCGAGAAGAAACATTTGCAAACGCAGTTGTACAACATTGCATCGACCGCTGCTGCCAAAATGAAAACCGGCAAATCTAGAAGACTCTCCACCGACGAGCTATTGAAAGCCATTGTAGATCTTTTGAGATTACTTATCGATGAGGAAACATTACAGGTATAATCTTACATAGCTTTATATTTACACAATTTTATTATTACGTACGAATTACCACGTTGTTAAGTGCTCTCACTCACAAGTCAGATATTTAACTTTCTTTATTGCTATTATCGTGAGAGCCCAAATTTATACTTATGTTACAGGTATAAGTTTTTTAATTTAATTTAATTTTATTACATTATCCTTTAAATTAATTGTGCTAATTTAATACCGGCAGCTATTTGGTTGGCCGGATGCTCCAATACAAGACGTCCTCGAGGCTGTAATCAGAAGATGCGGACATGAGCCGATAACATCGGAGGCCAACGTAGTGTTTACTGAGAGGCTGCGACAAAACGTCAAGCTTCTATTCACTGTCGTCGTCGACACGGTGAATGACGAAATAGTGAAATCTCTCTTGACAACGAAAACGGTGGACGATGTCATTCTTCACGTTTTAGAAATATCTAATCAAAATTAGGAACAAAAAAAATATTACAAGTGACGATTATACCTTTTTGAATATTTATGCGAACTATTTTTGAATATTTTAAGATTTATGCAAACATAAAAAACAAAAAAAAGAGAGTTTTGGGTAACGAACCTATGTCAATCAAAAAACATAATCAGTAAATTGATTTGAAACGTTTGAAGTTTAGTGAATAAAATTATATACGAGTTTACCTTTGTATATAATTTAATTATATTATAATTTAATGCGTGTCATTTTGAATATTTTAAGTTAACTTTTAACGCATTAAATTATAATATAATTAAATTTTATTTGCGCAAATCATTATCAGATTGATTTATTTTTAATCGATATACATCATGTTTATTATACGTTATACATATTGCTCGATACTTCTATTATGGTGAATTCGGTCACTCGCTCCACATTGGATTATAATATACAATACATTGAAAAAGCTGCTTTATATCTAAATGCAATGACATAATGTAATCAACTTCGATAATGAAATAATATATATTCTATTAAATAATATGTTATTATTTAATTGTTTAAGATATTCATATATTTTTACATTTAATTTTTGCTAATTTCATATATAGCAGTTTTTAGTATGCATTAATTTGATGTTATGCGACTGACCGAGTTTGTTATCAGATTTACAATTATTCTTATTCGAGAAATCATGATTTTGATTATGATTTAATGTACAAACAAGATTTATATTATCGCGCACATACTGTGAGAGCAAAAAGTATTTGTACAAGAAAATTTGTTATAAAACAAAGTCTTATTTGTAGAAAATAAACATTAATTAACAATTTTATACAATGAATACATTCTGTTCTAACATAAACAAATAAGCTTCGCATGTATTCTTGATTTTAGAAGCTAAATTTTTTATCTGTACTTTTAACTCAAAAAGTACAGATAAAAAATTTAGCTTCTAAACAAGCGGAAATTTAAAATTGTATTGTTTTATTCCGCTTATTTTTCAGATAATATATTTTGTATAATTAATACACATCTTTTTGATATATATAATTTTAAGAAATGTACAGTTTATTTTATTCTTTATGAATAAGTTGTTAATTATCCAACACAAGAAATGATCGTCAATTAAATGTCGAATCGATATCAAATTGATGTTGAAATCATCGTATTTATATCGATTGATGAGACATCAATTCGATGACTCATTTCTCGCTAATATTTATTTTTTAAAAATAGTTTTTTTAAAAGATATTTTCTCTGTACTTTTTGCACTCACTGTATGCCTATATATATGTATTATATACATAAAAAAGGCCCCTATTATGAGATATCGAGTTTATTTTAGGTAAATGCTAGAAGTCTATGGGCAGAATTTAAAAAAATAATAGGTCATTTGGAAGAAAATTTAATAAGCTGTAAGATAATATATAAAATTTATTTCAAATTTTATTTTTTTTTTAATTATAAAGAAATGTGAGCAAATAAATCGCAAAATAAAAAAATTGTGCTTCTAATATGAGATATCCCGAGAAATCGATAATAAAACGCAAAGTATAATATTGCAATTAAAAAACTTTATTTAATGTTTTTAAAATACAAACAAACACAGCCAGCGTGCGCAAAAATGAGCATGCGATAGATACTCAGAACTCGTCTTCAGGTGGTTCGAATCAAGCATTTCAGAAATAGGCACTCGATGTTCATTACGATTGTTCTTTTTACTATTGTATAATAACATTTATACTTTAACAACGATTTTCATATATATGACATAGGAGCATAGATTATTTTCTATTAGAAATATCCTGTGTATCTCATATTACGATTTCCACGCCTTACGGTTTTACGATCATTAAATCTAACTTCTACAATTAAGCAATTCAACATACATCCGTATTTTTCTATTAGTAGTGACTTTACTCTATCACTACATGAAGAATTTATTGCTAAATATTTATTTATTAAATAATAAACAAGGTTTAAAGGCTCATTTCAATGAAACTTGAAGACATCCAAATTCCAAAATCTTTTTTTACAATGACTACATGATTGAATAATGAACTTTCTAGTAAATCGTTTTTAATCCAAGAGTGATAAATTTATGATGGAATTAATAGATAGCGTTTATTAGTTTAGCAGAAATGCCATTATCTCATAT